CCCTCCCCCCTGGTGACCCTTGATAACTTATACATTATTATTGTTTTCATGTCTTACACTGACCGCTGTCTCCCTTCACCCACGTTTCTGTTGTTCATCCTCCTGGGGCGAGGGTATTAATGCGCTGATCATTACGATCAGTTCCCCCTTCCTCCCCTCCACTTTTTCCTTTATAATAATGGTACCATGAAATATTTGAGCTTCACTAACTTTTCTGAGCTTAGTGTCCTCCAGTTTTATCCATGTCATGAGATGTTTGACAGACTCCACACTGTTTTTCACAGGTGTGCAACATTCCATTGTATGTACCAGAGCCTGTTTATCGATTCCACCATAGATGGTTTTAAAAAAGTATTTCCATCTTTTTACTGCTATAGAAACTACTGTGATAAACATGGGTGTGCATATATACACCTGTTCGAGTTTTGCTCCTTATTTCATTAGGATACTGTTAGCAAAGGGGGAGAAGAGGTGAAGATGTCAGGAATCCTAACTACAAAAGGGAGGTGGAGCTGTGTTTCCCCTCATACCTCTTCAGCACAAAGAAAAGTGAAGTCATTTCTTTTATCAATGGAAGAAACAGGAGACAGTAAAAGGGCTGGGTGGGGAATGATAACACTACCCCCACAATATCTGAATAGGCTCTTGGGTTTTGGGTCTGGGGACAAGGGTACAGCATGAAGTCTGGGGCACATACACCTAGAAAGAGGAGGTACGCTACAGAAACCCAGATACTATGAGAATACCCCCTGGAAAGCCAGCCAATGGTGAGCGGTCCACCATTAGTAGAACAGAAGGCCTAGCTCTACATTCCACCAGGCCCTGGACTAGGGACCCTTTGGAGTTCTATACTAAAGTCTCCCCTTCCAAAAAACCCACTCTTTCTGATCAAACCTTTTCTCTGACTCTGATCTGAATGTTGTCCCTCACCTGAAATCTTTCTTGTAAACAGGATAAGAAAAGAGGAGTAACAGAGGAGTGTCGCAGGGAGACGAGCCAGTCAGGGTGCAGTGCAGCAGCGATGAAACATACAACTTTCCTCTAGTTCCTAAATGCTTCCTCCCCACCCACTATCATGATCCCAATTCTACCTTACAAATCTGGCTAGACCAGAGGATGTACACTGGTACAGATAGATTC